GGATAAAAAGGACCAAAATTGATGAAATTTACAAATTATAGGACCTAAATTGAAAGTGGTCAATATAGGGGTGGTTTTTTGGACAGTGGCCAAGTTATAGGACCAATTTTAAAATTTTGCCATCACACACCCCGTGCGGTAAGGAGGTCGTTTGCATGGCAAAGTAAGGTAGCGAACTCAACACCGACTGAGCACTCTCGGCCTTCTCCAAAATCTCACCATAGGTAGCCTTGGGGACCCGACTATGAATGATAGGCATCCCCAAATACTTCCCAAGGTTATGAACAACACGAAAACCCAACACTCGTACAATCGAATCCCGGGTCGTGGTTGCTGTATTGGGAGAGAAGAAAACCTCAGTTTTTGCCACACTCACCTTGAGCCCGGAAGCTGCACAAAAACTATTAAGAATATTCTCGATGAAGCATAGCCTGATCAAAGGATGCCTCAATGAACAGGAGTAAGTCGTCTGCAAACATGAGATATGGAACAGCCACCTGGCCACGACCAACCGTGATCGGGTGCCGCTCCATCAATAAGATGCGCTAGCCGCTCGATGCACAGAACGAAAAGGTAAAGGGAGATCGGGTCCCCTTGTCGTACCCCCCGGGACGGTGTAAACTCCTCACTCACGCCACCATTCTACTGCAACATCATGGAGGGCGAAGTAACACACGCCATAATCGCAGAGACAAAAGGCCTCGGAAAGCCCACACACTCCAAAGTTTCGCGAATAAACTCCCACCGGAGATAGTCGTAGGCTTTCTCCAGATCCACTTTGATCATGATTGGTCGGAAAAAGTGTGTATTTTATATATTTATTAGCGTATTTTTATATGCTTGATTTTACCGCACTTATATGTTTTTCGACCTATTTATTATTTGGGTGGATTTAAGTACTATGATATTTTTATGATTTAATTTAAGGATTTTGACCTATTTTATGGACGCAAAGCATTAGACGGAAGTTCACCCGATCAATTACCGGGCGTCCAATTCATACTAATCAACGTACAGAATGCATGCAATTGATGTGGGCCGAATGGGAATGAAGCCCACTTTGATTCATGAATGAATGTTATAACCTGCGAATGGAAGGATGATATTGGGGCAATTAATTAGGAATGATATTTTTGTGGGCCCCACGAATATAGAGAATTTGGCAAAGATGAAATTACTTGGCAAGAGAGTTATATTGGCTGAGGAGAATTAATTGAAAAGGATATACGGGAAGATTGTGAGATATTCACGCATAATAGAGAAACAGAGGAAGGGAATTATTCGAGAGCCGCTGACAGAGGACTGGGAGACGAGGAAGTCCGATCAATCGCGGAGGGAGGCCGCACCAGCACACGAGAAGGATAATCTTATTCTTCTCTTTCTCTTTTATTTCGTATTTCGTATGTTAGAGTAGTTTTTAATTCTAGTTCCGGGGAAGTTGAACCCTAAGATTCGACGATGTTTGATTGATTTATTCGGTTGATAATTTTAATATCTTTTTGGAATTGCTTGTGTTATTTTGAATAATTAACCATGATGTGTTGAGTCTTATTTAGATTGATCACCTAGATTAGGCTTTACATATCTACACCTGAATTAGGCCTTCAATCCGTAATTGTTGATGTGTTTAATTCGCAAGTGGTATCCGGAAGATGGTACTACCGGGGATAACACGGCCTATTTAAGTGAACGGATGCGTCACTACTTAGTCTAGTCTATTTTTCTAATTCGTAAAGCGGTTAATTGAATTAAATTTAGGAAGCGTTTCCTAGATTGTTCAAGAGGTCAGATTTAATCGTAGAGCGTCTCGCGGTTAGATTAAAAATAAGGAAAATTTCGAGTAACAGACCGTGTCGTTACCTAGGGCTAGTAATTCCATAAGATGGCGAGATTTGATACCAAAGTTGATTAGACGGGTCAGTCGAGGGTGTAGACGGAACCGTGAACTAGAAATTTCTCTTATTTATTTTATTTTATTTTTATTTCCTTTGTTTAGATTTTATTTGTTTCATTAAGCTTTTAGTTTGCTTACTTATTAAATCCAATCCCCCCCTATTTTATTGCTTTTATAATTTTAATTAGTACAAAAATATCACAATTTGATTCACACTCCTTGTGGGATCGACCCTTACTTGCCACTACTACTAGCTAGTAGAGGTTAGTCGAGAAAAATATAAATTTTAATTTTGCCGCGCTGCGACGCGCGGTCAGATCACCATGTAAGCTTATGCTCCTGTCATCTGTCGCATAGAATAAACGAGTTCCTGGGCAACCACAATATTGTCCGTGATGTGCCTGTCCGGTTCAAAGCTGGACTGTGCTGGGTTAATAAATGAGCGGCATCACCCCCTTCAAAAACAAAAATGATTTTTAAGAGGGATTTCAATCAATTTTTTTATTTTTTATTTTTCGATTAATTTGTATGCAATTACCCAAGGGCTGACTAGGGCAACATCGAATTTATATTATGTCAATCAAACTATTATGACAAAGGGTGAAAGTGAATGAATGGGGATTCACTGTATCACTTGTAAGTTGTAATTAAACACAACACGGTTCGATGAAATCAAGGTAATAAAGATTGTCAAAATTATGAGATTCTGTTTATAAAAATTGAAGTACATTTCCCAATGCAACTTGATTTATGTTGTACGTTGCACAGTCCACAGCTGTATTTGTACGTCTTGTGAAATAGTTGTTTCTTTCTCCACCCCACTTGCCTCATCACTCTACCCTACCAACCACCACTTTTTTCCCTCTTTTTTCTCCCTTTGTTGTTCGCCCCCAGTTTCATAATTATTAAAAGTACGACGTTTCGAATCTAGACATGTTCACGGGCCGACCCGTCTGTGGTCCCGGTCCCAGTCCGGGCCCGACACGCAACCGGCTCGTAGGTTGCCATTTCCAAAAATCGTCATTGTGGCTTTATGGGTCGTTTTCAGGTCCGTTTTTTCTATTTTTGGTGCCGGCAGGTCGGGACAAGGCCGGTTCATGGGCCCGGCCATTGGTTTATAGCGGGCCGGTTAAGGGTCACCCATGGGAGGCCCGTCGGCCCGACTCGTTGACTGGCCATCTCTATTTGAATCTATACCTAATTTGTAATTTTATAATTTTGAATGACAAAAAATTATAATAGTAAATTCTTAGATTTTTGAAGTGTCAATAATTTTGACAGATAAATTCTAATAGCTAAATTGTCTATAATTTTGAGAGATTTGATGAATTATTGTTTTTTTAAATACCTAATTTATAAGGTTTGATTTTTGGAGAAAAAAATCTTATAAATAAATTTTGATATGTGAATTGAACAATGCAAAATTATTCAATAAATTATTATATGTATTACTATTTATTCCGGAATCAGCTAATTATAAATCCTTTATGTTTGAGATTTTTATTTTTATTTTTTCGTTATTGATAATGAATATTTGAGTTCGTAATTAACTGATGTGGATATATTACCTTTGTCCTTCTCAACAATTTAATATTTTGAATGTTCTTTTAAATTGGTATTCAATTTTGGAATAGGGCAAAAAATAATGCTAATGTTAGACAATGATAACGTTAGAAAATCATACTACTTTTTTATAATTCAAATTGAAATGTTAACTCTAAAAAATAGCAATTATTAAAAAAAAATAGCAATTATTAAAAAAAATAGCAATTATGACATTTCGTAGGTAGTTTCGTTAAAAAAACAAAAGTAAATATTTGAAAAAAAAAATAATAATTAATTTTCACCCAACAATTTACTTTTATTTTTCTCCCATCTCATCTCATCTCATTCAGGAAAATGTTAAGGTCCCGGAATCATTCCGTTTGTAACCATGTAACCATCAAAGATAGTTGATATAAGAGCATCTCCAATGGAACATTGTCCATTTTGTGTTGAATGACATGGAAAATGAAAATTAAAAAATTATATCTCCAATGGTTAGTGTGAATTGTGGTATCATTTGTGATGTGTCAAATTATAATTGGGTGAAAAATAGAAAAAATGAATAAACAATATATACTAATTAGTAGAAGCATTCTAGAATGGCTTCTACATCTAGAAGGCCTTCTAGACATTTTTCATGCCACATAGGATTGTGTGTGCTATGTGGCAATAAAATAGAAGAATAGAATGACTATTGGAGATGGTCTAATGGTTACAAATCCCGACATAATGGTGCTGTAACGGACCGTAGCATCTCTCCATCTCATTTATTGTTGTCACCCAATTCACCCTATAAATCAGGCCCGAGCACCTCCCTCAAAAACCTCTTCTCTTCTCCTTTCTTTTCCTCTCTACGCTTTCAAGTTTCAATCACACACTGTTATTCTGCTTCATTTTTCATTCTCTCATTTTTTTTGGATCCCTCACTCCATTCTTCGTTTCTCTCTAAATTTAGGCCCACAAAAGAAGCAGATTACATTGATGCTGCATAAATTTAATTTTAGATGATAGAAATTGATGTCTCCTGTACTCAGTGAAATCCTCCGGTCCGGCTTTGAGATCGATTCCTCTCTCCGGCGAGGAACCCATCTCGTTCAATCCTTGTCCGTCGTCTTCCTCTACTGGTTCTACGTTTTCTCGTAAACCAATCCCAACCAAACACGCCCTTAAATTACCCTATATTTCCCTCTTTTAAAACTAATTACTGAATTAAAAAAAAAAAATTATAAATAAAAGTAATAAAATGGCGTCCTCGAGCGGAAATTCGTCCTCCGGTTCGCCGCCGGTTCAGAGCTCAGGCTCCGACGAGGATCTGCAGAACCTGAGGAAAAGGAAGCGGATGCAGTCGAACAGGGAGTCCGCCCGGCGGTCCAGGCAGAGGAAGCAGAAGCATCTGGATGATCTGACGGCTGAGGTCGATCGGCTGAGGAAGGACAACGGCCGGATCTCGAGCAGCGTAGATCTGACGGCCCAGCACTGCGCGAGGGTGGAGGCCGAGAACTCGGTCATCAGGGCGCAGATGATGGAGCTTGCCCAGAGGCTCGAGTCTCTGAACGAGATCCTCAGCTACATGAGCTCCGCCGGCGGCGTGGAGACGGCCGAGTTGCAGGGGTTTGGGGAAGGGGCGTGGAGTATGGTAGGGCTTAATCAGCTGCAGCCTATTGTGGCCTCGGCTGAGATGTTCGATTATTATTGTTAGATTAGATTTGTTTTGTTTTGTTTGGTTTTGGGGTTTGTGTGGTGGGATCAAGAAATTATTAATGTCTTTTTTTTTTTTCTTTATTTTGTTGGTAATAGAGATTAATGTGATGTTTTTAGATGGTGAAATAATTAACTAATAAATTTACTTTCTAGTTGTGTTTTGATTTATTCTTTCTTGATTATAATGTTTGTTTTTTGTCAAGTTGAGGCAACCAATCAAAGTTGGTTTTGTGGCACGAAGCAAAAAATGCAAATTGAGGCACCCATAAATAAATAAAAAATTACAACTTTAATTTTGCAAATTGAGGCACAAATCAATGAATGAAAAATTACAACATCCACTTAGCAAATTGAGGCACGAAACAAGAAACGAAAGATTAGTGAAAAATATTTTTGTTTGGCATTAGTTCTCATGTTCGAACAAATACTTAGAATTACAGAAAAAGGGAAGATCTTTAGTTATTTTATTTCCTTATTTAAGTGTATCTTGCATCCCATATATAAGATTATGTGGATCTTATTATGATATTTTATATTGTAGGAAATCGAAATTGTGTGATATAAGGAAATGAGAGGTTTGCATGAATAGGAGATCATGGAGAGAGAGAAAAGAAGATTATCTTACCAAACTTGTGTTACAATTATGGAAAGAAAATCACAAGGAGTCTTATGATGTGTTGAATACTCAACCCTAAGGAGGTTGTATAAATACCCTAGGAGAAGCTCTTATTGCGACTGCTGAGAAGATAATAATCTTTAGAGCAATATTCGAGCTTGTGATATTTTTAGTTTTGTTCAGTTTTGTACACAGTTCAGTTTGAGAGTTCTTACGCACTCAAGAACTGAAGCTGTTTTAGTTTGTTTTTCTTAACTTCATTCGAACAATATTCTTACTTTACACTTAGGGATTAAGTGTAGGCTTAAAAAAGTCCACGGGACGTGGCCGGAGAAATAGTTGATAGGATCGTGAATAGTGTTGGCTAGACTAGAAGGGAGTTCGAGTCTTGTAAGTCCAAACTATGTCAATATACGGTTTATCAATGAAAGAGCTCTGAGGGGAAGTGGGATGCTTCCCTGAAGAGTGTTTAAATCTTCGGTTTATAGCTTCTGCATTTTACAATTATTGTTCAAGTTCGCACGTTGTTAAGCGCACTCCGAATCAAATATACGTTTTAATTACAAACATCCACCATAAACAAAACAAACCACCCTTTAACACAAAGTGCACGAACTACCCGACCGTACTACCCGAATAGCCAAATTGTCCAGTTCTATTAGCCCACGCAATATCCATCTGTCCTTCTTATCTTGTTTATATTTCTTATTATCTACTATATGGCGTGTTCACATTAGTCTACCTCATAAGTATTCTAGTTGTGTTATTAGCTCGATTTCCCTTGAACTAAGTCGCTCTAACCTTCAACAAGTAAGTTTATCTCTTAGGTCGGACATTGACCTATAGGCCTCCAGGCCGAGATTCTATCAGACTAGCCGAGAGCCCTAACTCGACCTGTTTCCATGCTGCATTGTCTATGAGGTTACCATCGACCTTGTGTTTGCACGACCTCTGACATCCTAACTGTCTTACCGACTTGTCGGTTTACTCATCTGGTCGAACTGTTCTTAAGTCGTGCGCGATCTAATTATACTGGTATGGTATCTCTTATCATATGGTTCCCCTCTTTCCACTCTGGTCGAGGAAGTATGACGATCTGAGAGTAGAACCAAGCTCTGTCGAGATGCTTTCTCCATCTTTTTGTTGAAGATAACTAAATCGACATAAAATTCAAGCTCGTGACGTCCTTTCACATCATTCTGCCACCCGTCAATTAACGTAACTACCTCGATTTCTATGTACTGACTTGACAAACTGTGTTTGTGTTTATATATTTTCCCGTACCTATCAAGTTTTATTATTTTTTTTCGAAACGATAGATTTTATAGAGAAAAATACGTAAATATAATTAGATACCAACTAGAAAAAAGCCAAACAACTATCTAGCTGAGTCTAGGGAGACTACCCTGCGACGGACATCTAGAGACTACTCTAACTCATCCACAAACTCACAAAAAAAAAAAAACACAACTAAACAAACTCCCACAAGGGATAATTCAATTATCTATCGTTTATTATTACTTACATGTAATGTTACAATGATCATTTTTAGCACTGAATTTAATTAGCATAAAAAATATATAAGAATCACCATTTACTGAAAATAGTAGTAAAAAATTTTGAGAACAGTTATTGCATATCTTTTTTTTGGAAACTTTTTAATAATATGTCTTAATTGCTTCTATATACACGTTTTGATATAAGATCAAATCAGATATGATAAATAATATTTTTTCTTAAATAATTTTATTAATATCGTCAATAATTTTATTGAGATCCATTATAATAGATTACAAAATTGTTTTCCCGTGATTCATGTTGATAATATTTTGGTCAAGATAAATATTACAACATATTTTAAGTTCTAATAAAAAGTCAAAGAAGAAAGAAAACGTACAACTTCTATAAGTTTTATAAATAGTAATGATATTATATGACAACAAAGCTTATAATAAATAATAATATTAAGTATTACTTGGTAAACAAAATAAGTAAAATTGTTATTTTCCTTTATATCAAGGAATAAATATATATACTGAAATTAATTTTATATTAGTACAAATGTGTTTTGAGATAATATATTAATTATTTCAACATGCTCATATTTAATGTTGTAGCCAAAAAAACAACGTTGATTAAAAGTAAAAATTAGATTATAATCTTATTTTTTTTATTTAATGTTGATTAAAAGAGATAGAAAATAAATAATAAATTATTATTTTTTAGACTTAAACGGACAGAACTTGTGAAAATAACTCATTTAATATCTCTGACCGTCATGTACGTACTAGTTGGAAATAAAGACTAAAAAATTAAAACAAAATATGGCTTCTGCTGATGATGGTTTATCGGGTGGTATAACAAACATAATAATTGTCACGAATATATATTGATGGGTCTCTGTTTGTAATATTTTTGGGCAAGTAATAACCGAGTTACCCGACTCGGGTCGTTCTCTAAGGAAGGTTAGCCGGATTAAATTGTATGTTTATTCAATTCACAAAAGAAAAAAAAAAATTCCTAAACATTCTAATTCAATTTAATAATGGGGGATTTAAACTAAATTAAAAATAACATAAATGCTATCATTTTACTCGGAAAACCTTTCAAATGATAAAGTTGTTTTACTAGTAAATACTTTCTAACGATAAAATCGTTTTACTCGTAAATACTTTCAAACTAAAAGGATGTTCTACTTGTAACAACTTTCAAACAAATAAATTGTTCTACTAGTTAAATACTTTCAAATTATAAATTGTTCTACTAGTAAAAACTTTCAAACAAATAAATTTTTAAGAAAGAAAATAGAATAACTAAAATGATAAATATAAGTTTTAATAAATGTAAAGTCTAGGGTATTGGGGATAATCAATTCCGGTTTTATTAATATTTATTGGTAATTAAATTACTCGGTTAAACGGTTCTCTTAATT